ACTCTTTAAAGTAGAGACACTACATACTGATATACACCTGAACATCAGCAGGAGAGGACTCTTTAAAGTAGAGACACTACATACTGATATACACCTGAACATCAGCAGGAGAGGACTCTTTAAAGTAGAGACACTACATACTGATATACACTAGGGCTGTGCATCTTCCCTGGTCTCACGATTCGATTCGATTACGATTATCCTGTCAACGATTCGATTCAATTCGATATCCCGATGCATACCAATGCGTTGCATCCTCAATGTTCTATATTACTGCACATGGCTTATTTTTCATCAATGCATACATGCAGTAAATACATATGAACTCTCTTTTTATTATTTAGAAAGTGCTTCAGAAATCAATAACATAAATGTCTTGACATTCATTTATAAACCAAAATAAATTAATTGTATAGGTCTAGCCTCCCTATATCTGTGGGTGAAGTTGTTCCATCCTCAAAAACAAAAAAATAATGCTTCTGCAGTCTAGCTGCAGCTTCTAGCAACGGTCTTCTGTTAAAAAAGGACTCTGAATGTCCTGAATGTGGCATCACACACAGGACTTGAGTCTGAACACAGCAGACAACAGGAGTATTTACAACAGCATATAACAACTAAAATAGTGCATGTGGGTGCACACTTACATTCTCTGTCTTACTGTTACATAAATCCCATGAATGTATGAGACTAAGTTAGCTTCATTATATCTCAGTGATTAAGTGAATAATAAAGTGTCTATCAGGTTACTATCAGCCTGTCACTCATTATTTTCAGGGAGGGGGCGGGGCTTGGAGGAACAGAGGAGACGGTGATCGCGGAAGCTTTTTTCCTCCTGCCTTCACAAACTTTACACACGTATATTCTGAAAATTGCTAGAGGACATTCATACTCTGCAATCCAAGACTTAATTAAATCCACCAAAAACCTGACATGATTGTAACGCGATTATTTTTGAAAAACATAAATCCCTGTGTCTCTGAGCCGCAGCGACACGGAGTGATTCAGAGCGGGTCCTGCTGCTGTTGGTTCTGGACTGGTGTTTTGTGTTGGTGGATAAAGCAGACTGCTCCGTGTTTGGTGTTGCTGTGCCGCTGTCACGTCTGTTCCCTGATCTCTGCGTCACCGACCGATTTGATATTAAAGTGGAAAAAAACGTTATAGTAAAGCCGCGGCCGGAAAATCAGGAAGCAACGTTACTACGCTATACCGATTATCTTTCGTCACTGCATCGAGACCGAATCGTCCACGTCCGCCTGAACATCAGCAGGAGAGGACTCTTTAAAGTAGAGACACACATACTGATATACACCAGAACATCAGCAGGAGAGGACTCTTTAAAGTAGAGACACTACATACTGATATACACCTGAACATCAGCAGGAGAGGACTCTTTAAAGTAGAGACACTACATACTGATATACACCTGAACATCAGCAGAGAGAGGACTCTTTAAAGTAGAGACACTACATACTGATATACACCTGAACATCAGCAGGAGAGGACTCTTTAAAGTAGAGACACTCACTACGATATACACCTGAACATCAGCAGGAGAGGACTCTTTAAAGTAGAGACTACATACTGATAACACCTGAACATCAGCAGGAGAGGACTCTTAAAGTAGAGACACTGCATACTGATATACACCTGAACATCAGCAGGAGAGGACTCTTTAAAGTAGAGACACTACATACTGATATACACCTGAACATCAGCAGGAGAGGACTCTTTAAAGTAGAGACACTACATACTGATAACACCTGAACATCAGCGAGGAGGACTCTTTAAAGTAGAGACACTACATACTGATATACACCTGAACATCAGCAGGAGAGGACTCTTTAAAGTAGAGACACTACATACTGATATACACCTGAACATCAGCAGGAAGGACTCTTTAAAGTAGAGACACTACATACTGATATACACTGAACATCAGCAGGAGAGGACTCTTTAAAGTAGAGACACTACATACTGATATACACCTGAACATCAGCAGGAGAGACTCTTTAAAGTAGAGACACTATACTGATATACACCTGAACATCAGCAGGAGAGGACTCTTTAAAGTAGAGACACATACTGATATACACCTGAACATCAGCAGGAGAGGACTCTTTAAAGTAGAGACACTACATACTGATAACACCTGAACATCAGCAGGAGAGGACTCTTTAAAGTAGAGACACTACATACTGATATACACCTGAACATCAGCAGGAGAGGACTCTTTAAAGTAGAGACACTACATACTGATATACACCTGAACATCAGCAGGAGAGGACTCTTTAAAGTAGAGACACCATACTGATATACACCTGAACATCAGCAGGAGAGGACTCTTTAAAGTAGAGACAGACACTACTGAACATCAGCAGTAAAGAGACAGACACAATAAGGACAGCATAGTAGCTCCTTCCCTAGCATCTAAGAATCAAACGACTCCTATCGTTGGTCATTTCAGCATCTCCCTTCTTGAGATTATTTACCCATAACCCATCAGTGACTTCCTGTCCGTATCACGCGTATCAGTGTCGGCTGTCACCACGCAGTGAAGTCAACACGCCTCAGAACCCTGCGAACATGTTGGTTTTTGCTCCGGGGCTTGTTCTGCTCCAGCAGACTCTGTGGTGTCAGACTGAGGCAGACAGGCGCTCTGAATATTGCATGGCAGCATTTCATAATTCATATCGCCCTTGTGTTTGTAAATGCAGGTTAATTTACTCCCATTTACTATTCTTTTGATGTTTACAAGAGGTAGGGTAATTATCAGTGGAGTGCCTCATTTATCATCACCATGCATATTAAAATGAAATACTGTCTGAGGTCAGATGTGAGTGCAGAGCAGGTGAGACTCTGTATTGTTTGTTTTTAGTCATATTCGCAAGATTAAATCTCCTTTTACACATAGGCCTTTTTTATTGACTTAGATCAACATTAGCAACAAACTTCCCTCGACAAATTGCCTGTTTACAAATCCATTTCTGACTTTTTTCTGGAAACCTTAAAAAAAATCTGAAAATCTGAGAATTCTGTCTCTTTCTTATATTCTGACTTTCTCTGAAAATCTCAAAATTCATAATTTTTTATTGAGGATTATGATTTTTTTTCTAAATCTCAGAATTATGCCTTTTTCTTAAAATTGTGATTTTTTTCTGAAATCTGAGAATTCTTGCATTTTTCTAAAAATCGCAAAATTCTGAGGAAAAATACAGAATTTTGCGATTTTTAGAAAAATGTTTCTGAAAGTATCAGAATGATATTTTTTCTTAAATAATGCGATTATTCTCAAAATCTTATTAATCTTTTTTATTTCAAAACATTTAAAATTATGTCATTTTTCCTGAAAATTCTGAAATATTTCTGAAAATCTGAAAATTCAGATTCTTCTTAAATAATGTGCTTTTTATCAAAATCTCAATATTCTACCTTTTTTTGGGAAACCCTAAATTCATTTTTTTTCTTAAAATTCTGACATTTTCCTGAAAATTTGAAATGTTTTCTCAAAATCCCATAATTCTGCCTTTTTCTCAAATGTAAGACTTTTTTCAGAAAATCTCAAAAATCAGATTTTCTTCTGATAATTCTGATTAATTTTAATTCTGAGATTTTCAGAAAAAGTCAGAATTTAACCTTATTTTTTCTGAAAATCTAACAATTCTTACTTTTTTCTGGAAACCATGAATTCATAATTTTTCTTGAATAATGCCTTTTTTTTCTGAGAATCTCTTTAACCACATTAATCTCAAAATCTCAGAACTCTGACTTTTTTCTCAAAATTCTAACTTTTTTCTCAAAATCTCAGAATTCTTATAGTTTTCTTAAATTCTGCCTATTTCCTCGGATGTGAGACTTTTTAATTCTAAATGATATCAATTAATCTTCATGACTAACTGCAGTTTGACTTAATTCACACCTGTCACACCTGTCACAATCTCCCAGCATGCCTTTCACCTCACACTCATCAGCGCTGTTGTGAAGCATGAAATGAAATGTTTTGTGTGCTCGTTTCTCGCTGAATTAACAGACAATATCTGCGTTGTGTTTTTCGCCAGAGGTCAAACTCATGTGTATTTACATTCTGATTTAAGGCACACACACTCACACTGACCCAGAGTTACCCCTGGCATAGTTTAATCAATATATACATGTTTTATATTCTACTTAAATATACATGTTGATCATTAAATATGCATTTTTACCTTCATATATGATTGCCCCTAACAGTTTACAGATTCATTTGAGTTACATGATATGATTAGGGTTCTATTTTAAGTTTTTTCCACATGTTTTATCATTTATTACACATTTATTATTAATTATCCATCATAGTGAAGCTGTAGAGAGGCTTAGTGGTTCAGTCTGTTTATGTGTCCATGAGCAAGGCACCAAGTCTCAAACGGCTATTGATTAATGATGAGTGTTTTACTTATCCTATTTATTTAAAATGTATTAAAATATAAATTAAAAAAGCTTGAAATACTTTATCCTTACAACTCATAAATCAATACAATATTTAACTAATTAATATCTAAATAAAACGTTCCCAGTTGATTAACTACATGTTTTAATATGTATTAATAATAGGTGTTATATTCATGAATATGTGCGTATTTTAATACATATCCAGAACAACAATTCTGTTTGAAAAACTTGACTTATTGTCCGTAAATGTACCCTTTAAAACAAACAAAAAACAGTATAAATAAAAGAAAGCTAAACAAATAAACAATACAAACAAATCTAGTGTTTTTTGTTGACATACAGGAAGAGAGGAAAACAATTGTATTACTTGATAAATACATAAAAAAATACTTTCAACAGCTCTGAATAAAGTGTTTTTGAATAAAGGTTCCTATGAATGTGTCTTTGATTGATACATGAACAAAGCTTCTGGAGACTGGAGAGCTTGTCGCTACTGAAGTGGAGATTTCTGGCTCAGAATAAGTCTGGGGAATCACGATTAAAATCTAAACACATCTCCATTGTTTCTCCCCCAGATATGTGAGGTCTCGTACGAAACACGACATCGACATGCGGATCGGGATCCACTCGGGCTCGGTGCTGTGCGGCGTGCTGGGCCTCAGGAAGTGGCAGTTTGACGTCTGGTCCTGGGACGTAGACATCGCCAACAAGCTGGAGTCTGGAGGAATCCCCGGGTCAGTAAACACAACAGATTCAGGGCTTATTCTAAAGGCAAGTTTATTTATATAAACACAAGGCAATTCAAAGTGCTTTACAAAAATGAAAGATATTAAGAAATAGTGCAGCAGAAACATTTTAAAAAACAGTCATTTAAAAGCAAAGATAATACAACATGAATAACACAGGTACATGAATAAAAGTTAGAGTGCAGTGTGAGATATGAATAGTTCAATTAAAAGCAGCGGCAAAAAGAAACGTTTTATAAACCAGCAGCAATATTTTGGAATCAGTTCTTTGACAGTAATTTACCTTTTACTTGATTGTTTGCTTTAGAGACACAACGGTACAATTTAGTACGATCATTTCAATAGAGGTTGCTTTTTTAAATGTGAAAATAAATGTGTTTTTTGATGTTTACTTTACATCAAGGTGTCTCTTGGCCAAATGTGTTTTCGCCCTGATGTGGTCTCTCTGAACTCTGGTATATAACAAGGAGGATGAAGCACGGACAGAAGATATCTGAATGTCGGATGATGTTTTGGGTTCACCCGACACATAACAGTCTAGAACGAAAACAAATGTTTTTTTCAAAATTCAGACTTTCTTCCAAAAATCTCAAAATTCGGCCTTTTTCTTGAATTCTGCCTTTTTCTGAAAATTGTGAATTTTTTTATGAAAATCTGAAGATTCTGACTTTTTCTCAAATGTAAGACTTTCTTCCGACAACCTACTGTAAAACGTACTTCTTTTTTTTCTGAACATCTAAGAATTCTGTCACTCTTCCTCAAAATCTGACCCCAAATAATAATACTCTATTGAGATGCTAATGTTGCTATGTGTCTGTTGTCAAGGGTTTTATGGAGTTGTTCTGCTGCCCCCTAGTGGCCAAAAACACTTACTCCACCTTTAAAGCAGGATGTTTTCCATATGCTCAAATTAATCTCAAAATTCTGACTTTTTTTCCAAAAATCTCAGAATAAAATGTTTTCTTAAATGATGCCCTTTTTCTGAAAATGTTGTTATTCTTACTTCTTTATGAAAATCTCAACATTTTGTAATTTTCCCTCAAAATTCAGATTTTTTTCCTCAAAATTCAGGTTTTTTTCCTCAAAATTCAGGTTTTTTTTCCCCAAGATCTCAGAATTGTGCCTTTTTCTCAAATGTAAGACTTTCTTCTGACAGCCTAAAACTTACGTCTTTTTTCTGAATATCTGAGAACTCAAATTGTTCTTAAATAATGCACTTTTTCTGAAAATCTCAATACTCTGACTTTTTCGGGAAACCCTAAATTCAGATTTTTTTCTACGAATTATGAAATGTTCCTCAATTTGGATATTTTTTTTCTCAAAATGTGTTATTTTTTTTACTCCAAATTTGACTTTTTTCGTAAAAATTCTGTCACTTTTCCTCAAAATCTGACTATTGTTTTTTCCCGTCATCTCTCCAGGAGGATCCACATCTCCAAAGCGGCTCTGGACTGTCTGAACGGAGACTACGAGGTGGAGGAGGGCCACGGGAAAGACCGCAACGACTTCCTGCGGCGCCACAACATCGAGACGTTCCTCATCAAGCAGCCGGAGGAGAGCACGCTCAGCCTGCCGGAGGACATCATGAAGGAGGCGTCGAGCTCCTCGGACCGCAGGGCGAGCAGCACCACCTTCAACGAGGCGTCCTGGAGCCCCGAGCTGCCCTTCGACAACATCGTGGGGAAGCAGAACGTAAGTGCCGCCGTAATGCTGTTAACCGCACTGTGGAAACATGTCATCTTGATGGGAAACTTGTTCTGTAACTGAGGATTAAACTGGCATTCAAATTTCACCGTAGGAGTGAAAAAACTGCATTGTGTAGCAAGAAATATGTGACTTCCTCTATCAAAATCAGTCAAACTGAGTGTGTAGGATCCCTCTCAACAATTTCGTTAATTCAAAAATGATCGTATTGGTATAGATAGAAATAGTACCAATGTCTATAACCGCGTCAAAAGCGACGTAACTTGATTTGACGCAAGCACTGATCAAGGTTTTCTGTAACTCTCCAGGGTCCGTTCGCATTGTCTCTTCCATTAACCAGTCTTTAAACACTGCCTTACCGTTCGCTATGATTTGTGTCCTGGTGTGAAATCTTCGTTAGTATATCCTAAAGCTTGTTAGAATATCGTCTGACCAGAAGAGCTTCATTTACTGAAAGCCAAGACTTAGTTTAAAGGCACCCCAGAATGACCATGACAGGAGTTTGTGAAATAAACATTTATCTCACAACGATATCCCACTGATAGAGCGAGTCACATATGGTGTTGAAATCACAATTGTTTGTCCAACTCTTTACCCAAAACAAGTTAAAGGGACACATTTTAATCCTCACTGCAGGATGAGGTGCTTTCTCAAGATGGACGTGTCTTCTTCTTCTCAGTCTGTGTGTCTGTTGTTTTGTCTTCTTCTGTTTGCCTGGGAGTGTGTTTTCTGTGGAGAGATTGTGTGTGAGCTTCACATCGCCTGCCTGTTGGTGAAGCATGATGAACTTCTGATTGTGTGCGACATGAATCCCCTTTTCATTTGTCTGCATTCAATCCACCCCCACAGACTTCATGTTGTTTTCTTTTCTATGGTTGATTTTGGAGGCAGAGTTGATTTTATTTTATCTTCCTGTTATTGAAGGAGTGAGTGAAGGACCTTTGCTCTGTTTTATATTACATTAAAGTGAATATCTTTGGGTTTTGGACTACCAAATAAGGACAATTAATGACGTCACCTCAATCTTGAATGGACCATTTTCATTATAGAGTGGTGCAGTGATGTTGTACATTTATAGCGCTACCCTGAAGTTAGCATCTCCCTGATTCCCTCCACAAAGATCCAATGGGATGTTTTTAATGCTATTTTAGATTATTTCAGAATAAAACACTAAGCTAAAGGTGGCTAAGGTTGGGCTATAAAGGAACTGCAGCACGGTCACATGACTTCACGTCACCACCGCTAAGCTAAAGGTGGCTAAGGTTGGGCTATAAAGGAACTGCAGCACGGTCACATGACTTCACGTCACCACCGCTAAGCTAAAGGCGGCTAAGGTTGGGCTATAAAGGAACTGCAGCACGGTCACATGACTTCACGTCACCACCGCTAAGCTAAAGGAGGCTAATGTTGGGCTATAAAGGACCTACAGCACGGTCACATGACTTCACATCACCACCGCTAAGCTAAAGGAGGCTAATGTTGGGCTATAAGGAACTACAGCACGGTCACATGACTTCACGTCACCACCGCTAAGCTAAAGGTGGCTAATGTTGGGCTTTAAAGGAACTACAGCACGGTCACATGACTTCACGTCACCACCGCTAAGCTAAAGGAGGTTAATGTTGGGCTATAAAGGAACTACAGCACGGTCACATGACTTCACGTCACCACCGCTAAGCTAAAGGAGGCTAATGTTGGGCTATAAAGGAACTGCAGCACGGTCACATGACTTCACGTCACCACCGCTAAGCTAAAGGAGGCTAATGTTGGGCTATAAAGGAACTACACCACGGTCACATGACTTCACGTCACCACCGCTAAGCTAAAGGAGGCTAATGTTGGGCTATAAAGGAACTACAGCACGGTCACGTGACTTCACGTCACCATCGCTAAGCTAAAGGTGGCTAATGTTGGGCTATAAAGGAACTACAGCACGGTCACATGACTTCACGTCACCACCGCTAAGCTAAAGGTGGCTAATGTTGGGCTATAAAGGAACTACAGCACGGTCACATGACTGCACGTCACCACCGCTAAGCTAAAGGCGGCTAATGTTGGGCTATTGAGGAACTACAGCACGATCATATGACTTCACGTCACCACCGCTAAGCTAAAGGCGGCTAAGGTTGGGCGTGATGACGTTTAGTCATCTCATTTAGACATTTTAAATTCACCAGTGTTGTATTTACTGACATATCTTTTTTTTTTCGCAGTACAAAACGTTTGCATTTCTTCAGATTAAATCATATGCACACTGTGAAATCTCTCTCCGATTTCAATGTGACAAATGTCCAGAGCCACAGACCTCTTGTTTCCTGCAGCCTTGCTCTCACAGTGAACTCTGCGTAACCTCCTATGTTTACTGAATATGAGGATAGGATAGCTCCCCGTCTGTCAACAGCTCAAACACTGATGTAACCGTGTGTTCAGAATCAGAGGAATGTTTTTTTCTTTCTGACGAGTGCCACTTCTTTGTCTCAGGCTCATTGAAAGGCTGTCAGGACAGTCATTGCAGAGATTGGCTCTTTGCATATCAAAGGCTTCTGGCAGGAGTTTCTTGTATGTGGTCGCTTGAATCTGAACGGCTCCCTCTCCGGTCAGACAGAGAGGAAAGAAGCAGTTTAGGGCTGCAAAATGAATCCAAATGTTATCAAATCACAGACTAGTGCAATATTCTAATCGAAGGAAGTACAATAAGCTGAATAACGTTGAAATAGCATTTTAAATGGAGCACTGTAGGGATATCCTAGCCTGCAAATCTTATTCTACAGACCTTATAAGATGAGAATAATGAGGCAAAACTAATCAACCCCTCCAGTATTGTACTCGCAATATCAGTCAAAATAACCACAAATGAGAAACGGAAGAAATGTGGAAAAGGAAAGACAGGTTGTGTTTTATAGTTTTTGTTCAAATATGCAAGAGTGTGTAAAGAAATGTCCACTGTTTAAGTCCGGAGGAATCTTAAAAGCACTGAGTGTGAGAACTGTGAATGAAATCCATGCTTTCGGTAATTAGTACAACAATAAATAGGCAAGATTATTATTATCACTTTTCTGTACGCGACAATTCAAAGTGCTTTACAAAACAAATGAAAAGACTTTTTAGGAATAAATACATTAAAAATACATTATACAATTTCACAACAGACATTACAAAGCAAAGATTATAAAATAATAAAAATAAACACCACAGGTAAACAATACATATGTAAGAGGCATACTGTAGTTCGAATATGAGCATCTCAATTAAAAGCAGCGGATGAGATATGTTCATAATAAATAATAGACTTTATACGCAAAGCAGTTTCGTACACAGGTTGCAGCTCAACCTGACAGAAACAAGAGTTCAATAGAGGGAAACAGAAATAAGATTAAAGAAGGCACAGTTACTAACAAATCAATCGAGTGATGAAGCTAAACCTTTTTCCGTCCATCTCACAGAGAACAGCCGACAAAAGGAGCTTTCAAATCTGCAAGGAGATGTTTTTGCTCGATAACAGAAACCGTTTGGGAGTCATTTTCTCCCAAACAACGAACATCTTTAGTCCATATCTAATGCTTTACAAAACTATACTAAAACATTTATGATTTAACATCCATTTTTAAACTGAAGATGGTGATTGTTCTGGTCATCAACAATCCTTTTAATCAACAGTACAGTGACGTTACAGATGCATACTGACGTAGATATTAAAAACGTCCATTAACATCTGGTGGCAGACGTGTAATGAAGCGCATCAGATGACCCGTCTTCTTCACCAGGAAGGGACAGCTCTCTGATAACTGCCGTGAAAGCAGCATTTGTTATCTGCCGCCAACCATTAATCCTCCAATCATCCTGTTTTTTATCGTGAAGCACGCTGATAACGTTGAATAAAAGATATCATATCCTGTCCGTCTCTGCGTTTATGAGAACTCTCGTCTGTCGTTATCAGACGCAGAGGTTGGTTTGAAGGAGGTCTGAGTGGCTCTCTTCTTCTCTTCACTGTGTCACACTGCTTTCACCTCAAAACGAGGTTACGTGTGTTCCCTCTGAAGACCCAGTTACTCAGTGTGTGTGTACGCTGTGAAAGCCAAAAGGAAATGGGTCCATTTGGATATTTACTAACTGGATTTTGGTCTGTTTTGTTGCTGTTTTTCTTTTAGACGTTTGCTTTCATGTCTATTGAAGAAAATCTGTCGAATGGTTAAAATAATAAAAGGTGGCTCGGCTGTTGAAGACACACAGCCTTTAGACTCTTTACCATTTAAAAGTGCCATAACACAGTCACTGACAAATAATACTAAACAACATATTAGATCCAGGTCAGCTCCTGTGCTCCACGTGTAGGTTAGTCACACCACGTGTATTTGAGCTTTTATCATCAAATGAACGAGAAATGGCTCCTTTGACTGACATAAGAAGAATACTGACAAAAAACGTGTTTTATCCACCAGTGCTGACATCGTAGCCCAACTAGTGTTAGACAGAGGTCGGAAGTAACCAAGTACATTTAATCAAGTACTGTACAATGTTGAGATACTTGTACTTTACTAGAGTAACATTTTGAATGCAGGACTTTACTTATAACAGAGTATTCCTACACTCTGGTACTTCTACTTTTACTCAAGTACAAGATCTGAGTACTTCTACTTTTACTCAAGTACAAGATCTGAGTACTTCTACTTTTACTCAAGTACAAGATCTGAGTACTTCTACTTTTACTCAAGTACAAGATCTGAGTACTTCTACTTTTACTCAAGTACAAGATCTGAGTACTTCTACCTTTACTCAAGTATAAGATCTGAGTACTTCTACTTTTACTCAAGTACAAGATCTGAGTACTTCTACTTTTACTCAAGTACAAGATCTGAGTACTTCTACTTTTACTCAAGTACAAGATCTGAGTACTTCTACTTTTACTCAAGTACAAGATCTGAGTACTTCTACTTTTACTCAAGTACAAGATCTGAGTACTTCTACTTTTACTCAAGTACAAGATCTGA